CAGGAATCTCCTGGGTCTCTTTTGTCCCCTCGGCGTCCTTGCACACCCATTCAGGTGGGCGCATCCGAAGCTCCCATGCTTCTTTTGTAGACACACCTCTGGGGGTATCTCGATCTCTTTCCATTTCCTTTCTAGCCCTTGCCACAATATGTAATTATACATTTGTCGGTGCATTTGTTTGCTATTGGCTTCCTCTGCTCTTCTCAAAGCTCCCCTGGGGAGAATCCTCATCTGTCTTTCACTCCCTGGACTCTCAGCTCCATCTCCCCAACTCACAGGGCTACCTGGGCCTGCCTGGCTTCCTCCTTCCTGCACCACTGTCTGGACACCCTCATACGGCAGTGAGCTGTCCCGGTGGTAAGACTCATTTGTTTCTTGTCTCTCTGTGGTCACTGTCTGTTGTGGCCTGATATCTACTGCTTAAAAAAAGAAAGAAAGAAAACCCTTTGTTTTGTATATTTGGTATGTTTTCGGATGTTTCAGGCAGGAGGGCAAATCTGGTCCCTATTACTCTATCTTGGCTGGAAGCAGAAGTCCCAAAGGTTTTAAAGATGGCATTTCTGTCGGCCGGAGCCGCCATCTTCCAGTAATTCGCCAAAATGACAAACACAAAGGGAAAGAGGAGAGGCACCCGATACATGTTCTCTAGGCCTTTCAGAAAATATGGAGTTATTCCTTTGGCCACATACATGCGAATCTACAAGAAAGGTGATATTGTAGACATCAAGGGAATGGGTACTGTTCAAAAAGGCATGCCCCACAAATGTTATCATGGCAAAACTGGAAGAGTCTACAACGTTACCCAGCATGCTGTTGGAATTGTTGTAAATAAACAAGTTAAGGGCAAGATTCTTGCCAAGAGGATTAATGTACGTATCGAGCACATTAAGCACTCTAAGAGCCGAGATAGCTTCCCGAAGTGTGTGAAGGAAAATGATCAGAAAAAGAAGGAAGCCAAAGAGAAAGTTACCTGGGTTCAACTGAAGTGACAGCCTGCTCCACCCAGAGAAGCACACTTTGTGAGAACCAATGGAAAGGAGCCCGAGGTGATGGAACCTATTCCTTATGAATTCATGGTATAATAGGTGTTTCACACTTTGTGAGAAGCGACAGAAAGGAGCCTGAGGTGTTGGGACCTGTTCCCTGTGAATTCATGGCGTAGTAGGTATAGCACACCTTGAGCTGCCAGAATCTATTCCCTATGAATTCATGGTATAGGAGACAAACCTAATAAAAGCCGCTGGACTCTAAAAAAAAAAAAAAAAAAAGATGGCATTTCTTAGCTGAAAAGAAAGCTGCCCCTCTGCTACGGCAAAGCTGGGTAGTTCTATTAAAGTTGCTCTCCCTGGTTGCCAATCTCATCATCTTTATGGGCGTCAGGAACATTTAACGAATGCAGCAGACAAAGCCTCATTGAGTCCCGGGAGACAGGGCATTGTGACCCCTGAGATGTCGGGGCAGCTCCTGCCTTTCTGTCGTGTTTGCCGGGAGCAAGAGGGAGTGACAGAGGAGGCAGAGCGTGGGGCATCCTCATTCCTGGACCTGGCACTCCCTGACTGTCTCAGCCTTCCCTGTCTGACTGCTTGTCTCTCACAAGGCATCGCCTTTAGCCCTGAAATGACCTTCACCTTGCACATCAGCAATTCGTGCAGGTCTCCTCTCTGGGAGACCACCCACTCCTCCAGCAAGATGATCGAGTCTTAGTTTTGTAACGATCCGTGGGGCAGCTGGCACCAGACTGGTACAGTGTACGCCTGATTCATCCCGGCACTCCCAGCTCCCAGCACAGTGCCAGGCACGGAGGGTGCTCCGTACGTGTTGGGTGGATGAATGAGTGAATGAGCACCTCCGCGATGCTGTCTTCTCAAATATGAGCCATCAGTCTGTGCACGTGAGATTCTGGAAGGAGGTCCTGGCCACACTCCAGAGGAGGAGAGTCCAAGCAGGAGCAGGCCCAGCCTGCAGCCCAAAGACCTGGGGTCACGACGCTGGCCCCTGGGAAAGTTCCTTCTTGATCCTGAGCTTCAATATGTATTCTCTTTTCTGAGATGACACCTCCTAGGCTTTCTCCAGCCCCGACATTCTCTAATTGACTCAAACAAGGATAAACAAGGATGCATTCTTCTAACACAACAGCTGGTTTTCTGAGCAAAATCCAAGATTTATGCCTTAACTAGGTTCCACCAAACACCTCCCTCTTCTCATATGTTAGCAGTTTTGTGTCGGGTAGTTTCCTCACACGTGTGGGGTGATCGTGCACTGCGAGGGGGACCCTGTACGGAGGACCGTCACCCCCAGCTCCCTGCTGTCAGTACCAATTATGTTTTGAAAAGTAATCAAAAAAAAAAAAATTCCAGTCTCTTGAACAGAGAATGTAAAGAAAAGAGGCACTGTGAAATTAGTGCCAAATTCCCAGGGAGGCTTGCAATTATTTGGGTTGATGGAATTTCTCAGCAGGAGCCCTGTTGGCATTTTTTGAGGAGTGATTCTACCTGTGCGGGGATAGCCAGTGCATTGTCATTAACGTCCATGGCTGCTGGGCTCACTCGCTGTGGCAACCACAGACAGCCCCCGCCCATTTTTCCAAGTGTTTGCTGGAGGGGGGTGGGGGCAGCAGCCCCTAGCTGAGACCACACACGGGTAGGTTTATCCCAGCCACAGGAGTGTTGGGTGACCTTCTGTGGGCCATTCGTGGGCAAACGTGGCCCTGGGGATGTTACAGCCTGAGGCAGAGTCACGTAAACCAAAATTGCTTCCCTTTGCAATGAATATAGGCAGGCAAACCTTTGGGGTTTGGGGGCCCAGTGTAGACAGAACAGCCTTGGATGATCTGGTTGCACTTCTGACTCTCCAGCAGGGACTTCCGACTTCCCGAAGTGTAGGGAAGTGGGGCGTCACCCCGGTAAGACTCAAGCAAGTCAGGGGCACACCAAAATGAGGAACTGGGGGAAGGATTTTGTGTTTGGCATTTCACAAAAAAAGCATTGAACAAGTTCATCGTGGGGAACAGGAGCATCCTTTTGGCCCCCTTTCCTTTATTTTAGAGTGTACGCCTACTTGGAGTTCTATGTTCTGTGTCTTTTCAGTGTTGAGGTTTCTAAAGGCCTGATGACGCCCTGGCTGAGAGCAGTTCAGGGGCATCCCGGGATCAGCTAATTTCTCAGGCAGTGTTTCTGATTCTGCCTGGTCTCTGTGGCAATCTCAGGTTCAGCCCTGGGGACCTTGCATTTGCTAATGGGGTGTTAGCAGTGGCTGCCTGGGTCTCCTAATCCAGCTGCCACAATGCGATCACAGTTCGGTAACCACTCCCTTCTTTCCAGCTTCTCTCCTCTTTCCGTCTTTCTCCTTCTGCACAGGAGTGCACAAAGTACAAGCGCTTGGGAAAAGCAGCTTGGCAGATCCTTATGAATTTAATCGTATACACACACCACCCGACCCAGCAATCCCACCCGAGGTATTGATCCAAGAGGAATGTCAATAGGAAACATGTCTATACAAAGACCTGTACACAAATGTTTGTAGCAGCTTTCTTCACGAGAGTGGGAACCCTGACACAGCCTAGGCGCTCACTGTCAGGTGAATGGCTGCACAAACTGTGGTATTCCTGCAATGAAATCCTACCAGCAGTAGGAAGGAGGGGACCACGGGAATATGCAACGACATGGATGAATCCCAAAAATAATTAAAGACACAAGAAAAGAGAACACACACTGCCTGATACCATTCATCTGAATGCCAAGGACAAGCAAATCTCACCTGCGATTTTAGAAATCAGAAGCATGGCTGCCCCCAGGGTGGGACTGACTAGAAGGAGGCACAGGGAAACTTTCTGGGCTGCTGGGAATATTCTGTGTCTTACTGGAGGTGTGGCTTCCACTGGCGCATGCATGTGACAAAGCCCATCAGACAGTACATTTGAGATGGGTGCATTTCACTAGATGTAAATTACACCTTGGTAAGAATCATAATAATGAAGCCAGCCCTGGTATCCTTCGTGAAGTCATCCACTTGTTCCCCACATCCTGTTGCACCCCTCAAAGTGCTTATCATGGAGTGGACACCGAGTCTGGGGCATAGTTCTGATTCTTTTGCAGACCTGCCCAAAGCTAATACCGTCTGTCCATATGTCCACCTCTCCCTCTCTCTCCCCTCCTCTCATTGTTTTTACCATTCTGGGCACTTCTTTCTAGCTGTGCCCGAATCTTCCCAGAACCCCTGGGGTGCAGCCGTGTGGTGTCTTTGCTTTTCTGGGAGGAAAGTGAACCAGCCTTATCAACACCCGTCCTTCAGGTCCACCCCAACACAGCGTGTGCCCAGGGAGGGAGGACAGGTTCACCCGTGAACTCCATGAATTGAATAGTGATGGGAGGGTCGGTCCTGGAGCACCCAGTGTCAGTTGCACTGTTAATCAAACTTTTCCAAATCATGGCTACCCTCTTCCAAACTGAGACGGCCAGAGGTACCCCACCACATGGGCCAAATCCAAGAAGGGAGAGAGCCTACCTCTTGCAGGAAATTAGCTTGAGAAATGAACGTGGCCAAGCCTCCCTTTCTCTCCTTCCTCCCCCAGCGTCCCCTGTGAGCCCCGTGCCCCACCCCCACCTGCAGAATGAACCAGATTTAATGCCTCAGCTGAGAGAATGAGATGTTCTGTTATTTTTCATGGGAAATTAGACCTGACCCTGCTGTCAGTTAGCTCATGCCGAGAGAGGATGGATGGCCCGGGGCGCCACGCTTAGCCCCTGCACTGAGCACACCAGGCCCGGGATGGAGGCGCTTGGGGCCCAGCCTGGCTGGGGGCCAGCTATGATGTCACCTGCTGCAGGGTGGGGGCAGGGACAGTAGGAAAGGTCAGAGAGCTCTTATCTGGCTGATGGATGGTGGTGGTGGTGACCTCCTCCCGCTGCCTGTCGTTGGTGTCACCCACGACAGTCCCACCTCTGAGGCCAGACCCACTGGCTCCTCCAGGGGACACTCAGGCTGCCTCCCATCTCTTTCAGCTCCCAACTCTACCTCTTGCCCCGCTGAGGAAAGCTGGTGGTCGGGGCTGGTGATCATCATTGCCGTATGCTGTGCCTCCCTGGTGTTTCTGACTGTGCTCGTCATCATTTGCTACAAAGCCATAAAAAGGTAAGTGCCCGCCCGCTGCACCCAGCTCTGAGCCTAAGGGAGCTCCTGCGCCCACCCTGTCTTTTTTTAAATTATAAAAATTGTTAAGCACAGAAGAAGCAGAAAGAACATACAGTGAGCTGCCATCTACCCTTAATTCGACAGTTATCAAGATTTTGCTATATTTGCCGTATCATCTCTTTTCTTTTTTCTCTGATCTTTTTCATTGCTGCAGTATTTTAAAGTGGATCAGACATGATGTCCCTGTTCATTTTTAAGGAGTTCGATTCCACAAGCATTTGATTAACACCAATTATATGTCAAGCCCAGTGCAATACAAAAATATGCAAAAATGTTACAAAATACCAAAGGGCAATAGGAGTTGTTAATAATGTAATATTTCTAAGAAAGTTTTTTTAAAAGTTTCATGAAGCCCAAAGTTAGAGGGTCCACGTTAAGAACAATTGTAATACCTGAAATATTTAATTGTCTTCTTTGAATCGGTTGTTTTTTGTGATTTCACTTTAATAATTCGAGAGCAGAAGAGTAAAATATAAAGCTAAAAGTCTTAATGAGCAATGGTCAGGCATGCAAGACAAAGGGCCATGAAAAGCCAACAGCCCAAGTGCGTCCTGGCAACTGGGCAGAAGAGGCAGGACACTTGGGGGCAAGGGGCAGGGCGTGGCAGCTCCACACGGGACGGGCCGCGCCCTGGGCACCTGCCCCCCAGCCGAGAGCCCAAGCCGGGAGCCCCTCTGCCCCAACGCTCCTGCGGTGGGCGGACTCCACAGCCGTGCTGAATAACAAGGGAATAACCACAGTCTGGCATACCTCGGCCAGCCACTGGGCTCGTCTCCTCACCCACGTTCTCTCACTTCATCTCCACGGCATCTTTTCCCAATCAGCTCCATTTTGCAGATGAGGAAACTGAGGTTCTGAGGAGTTAGAGAGCTGCCCAGGATGGCACCACCAGTGAGCAGTGCAGGCGGAATTTGAACCCAGAATTACAAGGCTCCAAAGCCAGCCCTGACCTGAGCACCGTGGCTCAGTGTTACAGACGAGTTCAGCACAGTGTTGGGCTAGTGGCAGACCTCGGTGTTCCTGTCTGCCCTCCCTCAGGGGTGTGGAAGAGGGGAGACCAGGGGTGTGTGAGGCATGTCTGTGCCTCTCTGAGGCCAAAAGGACAGACAGACGGAAAGGCCCAAGGTCTGAGACCCTGTAACTCTGCACAGGGGCCTGGCCTCAGAAACCAAGGTGGATGCACTGGAGTCTCCCAGGGGACGTGACTAGTCTAATTCTAGGTGTCCTGTGGGCGCCTCCTCTGTGCCAGGCTCGGTGGGCATAGACACAGGTAGGACGCAGGCTGTGCCCGCAGGCTGCTCGCCTGGCCTCGGGGCTAGGGGCTGATTTGTGAGTCGAAGAGGCAGTGGGGGGCTCGCTGGCAGCCTGCTGTGGCTGGAGGAGTCCTGGTGAACCCCGGCCCGGATGATGCAGCATTTGAGCCAGGAGCCTGCTGGCTGGGAGGAGGATTTTAGGAAGCAGAGTAGAGGCGGCAGCACAGGCAAAGGCCCTGTGTGAGCAAAAGCACCAGGGCACCACTTCTGCCCCTCTCCCTGCCCCAGACCTCCCCTGAAGAAATGTGCTTCCTGCTTCAGCTGGAGGCGGGGAAAAGGAACACGTCAGGAGAACAAACTCACATTAATATCCTACTCTGGCAGTGTTGCCGGGCTGCAGCTGCGCTGGGCTTGCTTCCGGCTGGGCTGGGGCTCTCCCAGGAAGGAAGGGGTGGGGGGCCCATCTTGGCCTCCTGTCTGCCCCTGTCCCCTTCCACTCTCTCTGAGCTCTTGGTTCCTGGGTCTACCAGCGTCCTGGAAAAAAAAAAAGAGAATTCATCCAGATAGCTCAGTTGACTAGATTTTGATGGTGGGCTTCTTCTAGGGGTGAGGGCGGGGCTTCTTCCAGGGGTGTGGGTGGGGCTTCTTCCGGGTATGGGCGGGGCTTCTTCCAGGGGTGTGGGCGGGGCCATGGGCAGGTGCAAGGAGCAAATGGGGCTGGTGAGGCGCTCAGGGACTAGCAGCAGTGGGAGCAATTAGCACCCCTAGGACGATAGGCAAGGGAACTAGTGCCATGAGAACTAGTGAGAGACTCACACTCGGAGGGCGGCTATCCAGCAGGAGCTGTGATTGGAATTGCAAAGATGCTGACCCCAAAACAGGGAGGAAGGGCGAGGAGATGCTGCCAGCCTCTCTCCACACTCCCCGCTCTCCCATGGGTGCCTCCCATTAGCCAAACCCAGGAAGCAGGAGAACCCGGAGAAGCGTGCAGCAAGTCGGCCTCCTGGTGGAACGGGCAGATGCGTGTCCACGAGGCTCTGCCGCACGGCCCCGTTCTGCCCCGGCACCACGCTCTGCGTCCATCTCTGGGCCAAGGCCTGGGGACGCAGGGGAAGAAGACCCAGCCCTCTGCCCTCGAGATCTTCATAGCCCAGAGAGGGCATCCTGGTGCGGCAGACAGACACTCGGTGACAGGAGAGGGCTGTGCTCACTGCGGAGGAGGCAGAAATAGAGCCCAGCACTGCCAGAACCCACCTGGATGGAGGCTGGGGAGGGAGACTTAACCCCTTTTGGGAGAGAGAAGGCGGCGGCAGAAGTTACAGCCCCATGGAGGAGAGCAAAGTGCCCCTCCCTGCCTCCGGGGCTGCAAGAGATAGCATCATCCAGAAGCCGGCTAGCTGCCTGCCTGCATTTCTCTCCAGAGTAAGTGGAGGATTTCTTGCTCACTGCCAATTGTTTTTGGTCAATAATTCATCTACAACATGCCTTTTCTCTTAGGAAACAAAAGCATCCATGTCACTGTAAAACCATTAAAAGGAGAATTTAGTGATGAACTCAACCCCCCCCCCTTTTTTTAAATGTCACAGCCTCAAGTCCTAGGGGAAGATTTCCAAGAGATCTTTGTGAATGGCCCCAACACAGCCTTTTGGAGCCAGGTTGCTGGGAGGATTGTTCTAGAATCAGCTGGGGTAGAGAGGAGGTGACTTTGGAGATGCCGGCTTGGCATCTGGGGGTGTTGGCCGCGGGAGCACAGGCCTCGGCAGGGAGAGAAGGAGACAGAGGACGAGCTGCAGATGGGGAGGGAGCACCCTGCCGTGCCCTCGCATCTGTGTCCAGGCTGCCGCAAGGCCTGGCTGAAGGGGGGGCCGGACCTTGGCAGGAGCCGGGTTCTAATCGGCACTTGCTAGATGCAGATTTGGTGAGTCAACACTTCATCCTGTGACTCAGCAAACGTTCCCCAAGTCCCAGCTCTGTGCTGGGCGATATGCTAGGGTGCTCCAAGGCTGGGGGAGCCCAGAGAAGGGACATCTTACCCAGACCTGGTGTCTGGGAAGATTTCTTAGAAGAGGTGCATTGGCCAGGCCAAGGGACCAGGGAGGGCTGTTACTGAATTGGGATGAGCGCATGTGGTGGCCCCCAAGTCCCCTGTCAGCACCCCCAAACCCCAGAGGGGCTTTCCCAGCCCTGAGGAGTCCGTGCAGTGTGATTTTGGTGGCCTCATTGCCCCAGCTTGCTGTGAATAAGCCTCTTTATCCCAGAGCCCGAGGGCGTTCTGTACCCTGGCGCATGTCCCTAGGTGGGACATGCAGTATTTCCAACAGGACCGCTTAGACTTGCTGTAAGAGCCAGACAGAGTGTCAAGCCCCGTCTGTTCCCAGCCCCAGCCCAGCTCAGTGGGTGTCACTTTTCCCTGTGTGCCTCCGTCTTCCCTCCCTGTGAACTGGCGGTCCCCCGCCTATCCTTCCGGCTCCTGAGCCTTTGCTTCCCTGCTGCAGGATCGCAGGGGGCCCACTGCCACCCAGTCATTTGGCTGCTTGGATGTGTAGATGCCGACCACGATGCTGCCAGGGCGGGGCCAGGCGCCAGGCCCCGTGCTTGGCGCTGGGCTGCGGTGGTGGGCGCCGCAGGCACGGTCCCTGCCCACTCTGCCCACACCCTCCGGGCGGGAGAAGAGGCTAATCCGACCAGACCAGACCCAAGGAACCATGGATTGCAGTCAGAGAGGAAAGGCTGAAGGGAAGCCCAAAGCTCTGTGAGCAGAGACAAGAGTCTCGGCCCATGGCGGGAGATGAACCTTAAACATGCCAAGATCATGGGAAGTCATTGAGATAAAGCTCCCAGGCGCAAGGCACCCACTGCCTGGGGAGGAGGCCCAGATCTCAGAGTCTGGCTGGGGGGAGCCCCACAGGCCTGTGGACTCCCAGGATGAGGCTGCTCTCCCAGTGGCATTGGCAGCTTCTCCGATGGCCGCCCCCTTCACTCAGAGAGGAGCCCCTGTGTGGAGGGGAGGTGACACCCACACACTCCCGGCACAGGAGAAGTGCCCTGCCTCAGCTGGCCGTCCGTGGCCCGGGACCTGTACTTCCGCTCTCCATCTGCCATTAAGTCATTTGACAGCCATTTCCTTCGTATTTACAGGGTGTTATTGGCTAAAAGACCAATAAAAGACCATGGGACAATTTGGCCAATCCTGCAGATCGTTAATTGCAGACAGTAAGCAAGGGTGCTGCTTCCCGGGTGTGGCTTCAGTGTGCGTGCCTGGGTGACCCCGTGCCCGGGTGACCCCGGGTGTGCAGAGCGCCCACATTACTGCTGGGCTCTGGCGCTCATCAGCCGTTTGTGGTTCAGCCACTTCCAGCAGAACCAGCCCTTCCCAATGCTCAAGTCTCTTTGATGGTGCCTTAGAAAACCCACTGACCCGCCCAGGGCTGCTCAGTAAGTTCGTGTTGGGCTGCAAGTATTTATTGAGCACCTCCTGTGTGCTGGGGACTAGACTAGGCAGAAGGGATGGAAAAATAAACAAGACTGAGTCTGGCCCTCCTCCTGCTCGTGGAGGAAGCAGATCGAGCCCGTGTAGGAGCAAATGGGTAACAGAGGCTAACGGAGGAGAGAGAAGAGGGGAGGGGAAAGAGAGAGGACGGGAGGGGACACGGCCACTTCCCCTCCCCCAGAGTCAGGCATGTTGTG